TGTCCCTCACACTGTCCCCGTGTCCCTAACGGTGTCCCAGTGTCCCCAGTGATGTCCCCAACACTGTCCCCGTGTCCCTAACGGTGTCCCCGTGTCCCTCACACTCTCTCTCTTCTCTCCCCCTCGGCTGCGGGTGCTGCTCCAGTCTGGAGATGGACAGGTTAGCAGGGACGGGCTGGGGGGGACAGGGGTCCCCGGGGGTCCCCCAGGACCCCTCGGTGGGGTCAGCACCCTTGGGACCCCCAAAACTCCTGCAGGGTCCTGTCCTGTGGGGTCAGCACCCTTGGGACCCCCAAAAGTCCTGCAGGGTCCTGTCCTGTGGGGTCAGCACCCTTGGGACCCCCAAAGGTCCTGCAGGGTCCTGTCCTGTGGGGTCAGCACCCTTGGGACCCCCAAAACTCCTGCAGGGTCCTGTCCTGAAGGGTCAGCACCCTTGGGACCCCCAAAGGTCCTGCAGGGTCCTGTCCTTTGGAGTCACCACCCTTGGGACCCCCCAGGACCCCTCTGTGGGGTGACCTTGGCTGGGACCCCCCTGTCCTGATGGGGTTACTCCTGTCCCTGTGGTTTTGGGGTCCCTGCTTGACCCCGTGTCCCTGTCCCCGTCCCCGCAGGGTGGTGGCTCGGAGCAGGAGGTGACACCAAGGTTTTGGGGTCCCTGCTGACCCCGTGTCCCTGTCCCCGTCCCTGTCCCTGTCCCCGCAGGGCGGTGGCTCGGAGCAGGAGGTGACACCGAGGTTTTGGGGTCCCTGCTGACCCCGTGTCCCTGTCCCCACAGGGCGGTGGCTCAGAGCAGGAGGTGACACTGAGGTTTTGGGGTCCCTGCTGACCCCGTGTCCCTGTCCCCGTCCCCGCAGGGCGGTGGCTTGGAGCAGTAGGTGACACCGAGGTTTTGGGGTCCCTGCCGACCCCGTGTCCCTGTCCCCGTCCCCGCAGGGCGGTGGCTCAGAGCAGGAGGTGACATCAAGGTTTTGGGGTCCCTGCTGACGCTGTGTCCCTGTCCCCGTCCCTGTCCCTGTCCCCGCAGGGCGGTGGCTCGGAGCAGGAGCGCTCCAAGAAGCGGCGCCGCGGCGATCGCTACTCGGTGCACACCTCGCTCATCGTGGCCACGCTCAAGAAGATGCTGCCCATCGGCCTCAACATGTGCTCGCCCGCCGACCAGGAGCTGATCACGCTGGCCAAGGGCCGCTACGCCCTGGTGGGTGTCGGGGACACCACCTGGGGACACCTGGGGACACCTGGGACCTGCAGATGTCCCCTGGGTTTGGGGACAAAGCCTGGGGTTGGGGACTTGGCGCTGGCCAAGGGTGGCCACTGTGCCCTGGTGGGTGGCCAGGGACACCTGGGGACACCTGGGGACACATGGGACACCTGGGAGCTGCAGATGTCCCCTGGGTTTGGGGACAAAGCCCTGGGGTTGGGGACTTGGCGCTGGTCAAGGGTGGCCACTGCGCCCTGGTGGGTGGCCAGGGACACCTGGGGACACCTGGGGACACCTGGGAGCCACAGATGTCCCCTGGGTTTGGGGACAAAGCCCTGGGGTTGGGGACATGACGCTAGCCAAGGGTGGCCACTGCGCCCTGGTGGGTGGCCAGGGACACCTGGGGACACCTGGGGACACCTGGGAGCCACAGATGTCCCCTGGGTTTAGGGACAAAGCCCTGGGGCTGGGGACTTGGCGCTGGCCAAGGGTGGCCACTGTGCCCTGGTGGGTGTCGGGGACACCTCAGGGACAAGCCCAGGGTTTGGGGACACCCACCAAAAGCTTGGGGACACTCCCTGAGGTGTCCCCTGTGCCCCCCCCTGCAGAAGGACACGGACGAGGAGGTTCGGGAGTTCCTGCACAACAACCTGCACCTGCAGGACAAGGTGAGCTGTGTCACTGTGTGCCATGGCCTTGGTGTCACCGTGTCCCCTGTGTCACCGCGTCCTCGTCACCGTGTNGGGTCAGCACCCTTGGGAACCCCAAAAGTCCTGCAGGGTCCTGTCCTGCAGGGTCAGCACCCTTGGGACCCCCCAGGACCCCTCTGTGGGGTGACCTTGGCTGGGACCCCCCTGTCCTGATGGGGTTACTCCTGTCCCTGTGGGTTTGGGGTCCCTGCTGACCCCGTGTCCCTGTCCCTGTCCCTGCAGGGCGGTGGCTCGGAGCAGGAGGTGACACCGAGGTTTTGGGGTCCCTGCTGACCCCGTGTCCCTGTCCCCGTCCCCGCAGGGCGGTGGCTCAGAGCAGGAGGTGACACTGAGGTTTTGGGGTCCCTGCAGGGCGGTGGCTCGGAGCAGGAGGTGACACCGAGGTTTTGGGGTCCCTGCTGACGCTGTGTCCCTGTCCCCGTCCCTGTCCCTGTCCCCGCAGGGCGGTGGCTCGGAGCAGGAGGTGACACTGAGGTTTTGGGGTCCCTGCTGACCCCGTGTCCCTGTCCCCATCCCTGTCCCCGTCCCGCAGGGCGGTGGCTCGGAGCAGGAGGTGACACCGAGGTTTTGGGGTCCCTGCTGACCCCGTGTCCCTGTCCCCGTCCCCGCAGGGCGGTGGCTCGGAGCAGGAGGTGACACCGAGGTTTTGGGGTCCCTGCTGACCCCGTGTCCCTGTCCCCGTCCCTGCAGGGCGGTGGCTCGGAGCAGGAGGTGACACCGAGGTTCTGGGGTCCCCGCAGGGCGGTGGCTCGGAGCAGGAGGTGACACTGAGGTTTTGGGGTCCCTGCAGGGCGGTGGCTCGGAGCAGGAGGTGACACTGAGGTTTTGGGGTCCCTGCTGACGCTGTGTCCCTGTCCCCATCCCTGTCCCCGTCCCCGCAGGGTGGTGGCTTGGAGCAGGAGGTGACACCAAGGTTTTGGGGTCCCTGCTGACCCCGTGTCCCTGTCCCCGTCCCTGTCCCCGTCCCGCAGGGCGGTGGCTCAGAGCAGGAGGTGACACCGAGGTTTTGGGGTCCCCGCAGGGCGGTGGCTCGGAGCAGGAGGTGACACCGAGGTTTTGGGGTCCCCACTGACCCTGTATCCCTGTCCCCATCCCTGTCCCCGTCCCGCAGGGCGGTGGCTCAGAGCAGGAGGTGACACTGAGGTTTTGGGGTCCCTGCAGGGCGGTGGCTCAGATCAGGAGGTGACACTGAGGTTTTGGGGTCCCTGCTGACCCCGTATCCATGTCCCCGTCCCCTCAGGGCGGTGGCTTGGAGCAGGAGGTGACACCAAGGTTTTGGGGTCACTGCTGACCCCGTGTCCCCGTCCCCGCAGGGCGGTGGCTCGGAGCAGGAGGTGACACCGAGGTTTTGGGGTCCCTGCTGACCCCGTGTCCCCGTCCCCGCAGGGCGGTGGCTCGGAGCAGGAGGTGACACTGAGGTTTTGGGGTCCCTGCTGACGCTGTGTCCCTGTCCCCGTCCCTGTCCCTGTCCCCGCAGGGCGGTGGCTCGGAGCAGGAGGTGACACCGAGGTTTTGGG